GTGACTCCTCGCCTCCAAAGAAAAGGAAAACCCACATCCCATCCGAAATGGAAGACAAGCTAGCCCATTATTTCACAAACAAACCACCACGTCACCCTGCTGAACTTATCACAGTTGTCCCAAGAGTTGAATGGTCTTTGTTCTTCAAAACACTATCTTCTTCGCCGAAAGTGTAAGTTTCACATCGAAAACGCACATTCCTTTCTATACTAATAATAAATTTATAATTATCAGATTATTCAGGTTACATTTCACCAAAGCTAAATGCGACTTCGACAACCAATTCTTGCTAGACCTGGGGAAGAGTTCCGGCTGGATAAGCACAATGGTAATGTAGTCCTATCTTCTTACCAAACATTAACCCTTCTCCTTTTTTTCCCACACTCACCGTTCTCCTATCTCTTTACGTCTAGCATATGGAAGTGCTAATGGACTTCCTAACTTCCCACCATCACCAAGTTTTACAAAGTCAGCGTCTATGCTTTGCATCGCCGTGGCTCATAAACCATCTCCAGGGAAAGCACAGAAGCGTTATGAAGGCCAAGAACAAAGACTTAATACATTGGGAATCAAGGATAAGGGATTTTGTAGTCGCACCCGGGAAGACATGGTTCCAAGACGTTGACACTGTTTACACACCTATGAACTGGGACAACGGCCACTGGGTAGGACTAGTTATCGAGCTCAAACTTTGGTCTGTTTTTGTTCTTGACAGTAACCCCATCCTCAAAAAAGACACACAAGTGGCCAAGCTACTACAACCGGTGCTCGAGCTTCTCCCCCTACTCATAAAAAAACTTTGCAGGCGCACAACCATCGATTTCCTTCAACCTACGCCCTTCAATTGGTCGCGACCCAAAGATCTGTACGTCAACTTACGTGGGGGTGATTGCGGACCTGTCGCTGTCAAGTTCATGGAACTGCATGCTTACGGAGACCCGCAAACGTGTATGTCTGGCCTCACTGATGCAATGGTCGACAACTTTAGGAAACAGTACGCCATGGATATTTACCAAGCTCTAGTTGCCCCTTTGCATTTCCCTCAAAACTAAGTATCAGACTCTCTTTTGTCATTCTACCTACCTCCGCCTACTAAGTCCTTTTCCTAGAACCGACTGCTTGGGACTTTTTTTCTGCACTATATCCCTGTTACGGGTGTTCCTGCTGCATTTATGTACCATATCTATTATCTTTTCAGCAGGAACAATAACTAACACTTACAATGTTCAATCCTACTTATATGTTATTGTGTCCTTGAACTCTATATTATGTACCATATTGTGTACAACCAAAGCTATGTTCCGGAATACTATCTTCAAACCCTTACACTCATACGTACCTTTACTTTTGGACAACACGCTGTTGCTAAATCTTAACTGATCACCAACGCTTTTTCAGTGGTACCAAATTTCGTGGATTGCTGCTTCCTCATCCTGATGTGGTCATCAACTTCACCACAATAGGCACCCTAATCACCTTCTACCCTACTAACCTTGGACACCTAGTCCTGGACATACAACCTCCTACACGCACATGAAACAGTTTGTGGAGATATGGCACACACTTACACTCACCCGTGTAATCCTTTTGGACAACACACCGTGGATAAATTTAAACGGAACACGCCAGCTGTGGACAAGATGCGGTGGACTTTGGCTTACTGTGGTTTACTCAAGTTGTACCCCAAAGCTATGTAACCAACAGGTTACAATGGTCCTTGAAATCTATATTAAGTACCATATAGTGTACCCCAAAGCTATGTACCGGAACACACTTTCACTCACACGTACCTTCCTTTTGGACAACACACCGTGGATAAATTTATATGGACCACCACCGATTATACATCGTAACCAATAAATTGTGGACCAGATGTGGTGGACTATGGTTTACTCAACAGGTAGTCGCCAACAACTTCTCCACAATAGGCACCCTAATCTCCTTCTATCCTAACCGTGGACTTCCAATTGTGGACAGAATTGTGGACGTCGTGGATAAATTTAACCGGACCACCGCCGATTTTACATCGTAACCATCAAATTTTGGACCAGATGTGGTGGACTATGGTTTACTCAACAGGTAGTCGCCAACAACTTCTCCACAATAGGCATCCTAATCTCCTTCTAAGCAAACCGTGGACTTCCAATTCTGGACAGCATTGTGGACGCTAGTTTGTGGACATATCAACTATTGCACGATGTCATTAAGGCTTCCATTCCAACACTGCCCTTGTGGCTAGTATATTACAAATTTGGAACTGTGGATGCTAGTTTTTGGATATATCAAATACACCACAATGTCATGCTATCGGGGACGCTACTATGTGGACATGTCAACTATTCCACGATGTCGTAATTCCACGATGTCATTAAGGCTTCCACATACACTTTCATAATATTATGTGCCATATAGTTTACAACAAAAAACGATGTACCGCAATACTATCTTCAACACCTTACAACCTAAAACCCCTACAAATAGTCATATGTACCTTTACTTTTGTAGCGAAATCCGTGGATACCTGTTAGCTCATAACAAAACCTTGAGGTCACCATTTCATGGACAGTGTTTACTCAACATGCAGTGGACACTAATCACCTTCTAACCCTCCGTTTGGCCAACCACTTGTGGACATAATACCTGCTTCACGCAACTTAAACGGTTGTCGCTGCCTTCCTTGGACTACTCTTGGTGGACTACTCTACAATGGCTAACATGATGTGGACAGTCTTCTTTCTGTATCATGCTTTAGACCATCTGACCTGCCAAATTCAATTTCAAATATACAACCATCAATGTGTACCTACCCAAGTCCATGTTATCATATGCAGAAATCAAATTTGGACAACGACATGTCCATGTTCATTCGCTACCTACTCGTCCAACTACAATACCACTATATATCGACTAATTAGTGGACACCTTTTCGTGGACCAAATTTTTGTTGTGAGGTAGACCCCATTCCGTGGTCACCTTTCCCACTAAATTGTGAACAAGAAATGCGAAGGAAATATACGACGGAACATCTCGGCCATATATATACTCCTGTTCTCCATACTTACCAACGATATCACCGACCAAATTAGGGTTTACTATCAAATATGAGTTTCCAATCCACAGCTTCCACACCTACCTACTCCCGCGGGATTCCCAGGTGCTGTTCGTGTGGCCAGAAAACAGCGATACTCAAGTCAACAACTGTTCAAAACCCAGGCAGGGAATTCTACAGGTGTATTGCCGCGAAAAAGGTAAGAATTTTAGAACAACTCCTATATAGGGAGATTATGGCCATGTCAAGTTGAGCCCCATAACTTTTCTAATATAGGGAGATTATGGCCATGTCTTCAAGTGGGTCGACGAAGCTAAATCAGAGGAGCTCGATATCTTAACCGAAAGTAACATTGAATTACAAAACGAAATTACCATCCTCAGATCGGCGGAGGCTAACTTAAAGAGTCAGGTACAAACTATCCTCGCAACTATTCAGACCTTGAAGAACGAAACCCAAGCTACAAAACAACAACTAAGGATTTACGCTTACTCTACCGCCTCCTGCTGTATCGTTGTTCTAGCCGTTCTTCTTCTCAAGTATTAATCCCTTCTGTTTTAAACGGACCACCTTGTTCTGGGTTACGTGGCCACACGATCTCAACATTTTGTACGTGTGCTCTGTTTATCAATTACCTTACTGTCTATGCTGTATGTGTTTCACATCTGTTTATCAATTAGTTCTCAGTGCACTATACATTATGCTCGATTCACGAACAATATAATTGTTCGACCAACAATTCTTTGAACGCATCATTAAAAACTTACTCAAATGTCAATAATACAGCAATTAAAAGGATTACAAAGTAAGACAGCAAATACAAAGTAAGACACCAAAAAGCAGGTCTGACTAAAACGATACATCCACAATGACATCAATGGTTCATCGTCATAACCAACACTTTCGCTATCATCAGCACAGCAATACATACGACTACAAACAGAACCTTCCCGAAAATTATTTTTTGCCCAAGCTCAAGCTCCATTTTACCCATACAAACAACGGTTGCCTCCAACTCTTTCTTTAAACGCTCAATTTCTTCAGCCGAACTCTCTACGCTCCGCCACATTTCTGGGACATCCACGGGCATTCCACAGTCCCTAAAAGCAACAAATCGAAGCCTCTCACCATCTTCCTCCACCGTCTCTTTCACTTTCTTCAGTTCTTCCATCATGGCCGTATCCCACCATTTGTAAAAACCACACCCTCCACCCTTATAAATCCGAATCAAATTACAAATACCATTTAAAAAAAAACTAAAATAGAAAAGACTCATTTACTTACCTTGTTTTTTTTGCAACAAAAAAAACTCCGGCCCCTTTCCATCTCAGAAACGGCCGATTCGATGATTAAATTGTTCCCACAATAAAAACTAAAAGGGATTCCCAATCCAGGCTCTCTGCGTGACGAAAACTCATCAAATGCATCTAGATCTGGAACCGCACTTCCAGATGAACTCCAACTATAACTGAACGGCATAATAAAAGAGGAGTACCAAAACCCTAACCCACATAAGTTCACTAAACCTAAAAAAGACATCTTCAGCATACTTATAGAGAACTTCCTCATAATTTCGACACCTAAGTCTAAATCAGAGACACTGCACAGTAAACACCAAAGCAGATCTACAACCATACAAAGCATGTTTTGTGTTCGGCATACCAAACATACAAAACATACAAAACTTATTCCAAAACTTATATCACATTACAGTACTTCAACATTAAGTTATGTCAAAACATAATTTCAACAAAATTCACAACACCTTAACAAAACAATACAGAGTACGTCAATACAGAGTACAATACCAAAATTATACAGTACAGAGCACACTAAAACACTGCTCTAGCTACCAGGACCCTTGACCACATATACCATCGGAATTACGCCAAAAAATAATACTCGCAATCCTCTGAATCACGCCAAAAACAACTAAAAAGCCCTACACCTCTCATATTGGGTTATTGCATCGGGTCCTATTATGCCCAGGTTTGAAACATCTCGTACACTTGTTCGGTACTGCTTTTTGCTTTCTCACCACCTACACCAAAAAAGATAAAACATTGTAAACTATATAACAGGCGACGTCAAACATTAAACCAAACGTAATAAACGTACCGGCACCTCTCCCGTTGATGGTATCCTCACAGTTGGTGGACGACCTGATGGCCTCCTCGTGCGTGGAGGGAACAAAATAAAATTCTCAACTTCATCAGGTACATCCACATCTTTAGCATCGCCTTCAGGATAAATAACGCCTGCATAGGTATCGATCCAAGTACTTGTCTTATACCAATCAGCCACTAAACTGTCCCAAGGCATTCCCAAGTGATCGGCAGCAATCAATGCATGACCACAAGGAAACTTCAGCTTATCGAACATCTTGCATGTACAACTCCTATCAGCTAAACAAACAAACATTTTTCCCCCGTATGGATCAACTATTTGACAGCTAACATTAGATATATTGTTAAGCTTACTCCCTTTGCAATTTGCAAAATTAACCAACATCTCTTTGTCAACCTCAATACTCACCATACCTCTCCTCTTCCTTGCTTTCTTTATTCTAGCCTCAAACCATCTACTCATCATTGCTTGAATAAACTGCAACAACTCAACTATTGGTGAAGATCTGCCTTTCTTCAGAGCGTTGTTCAGTTGCTCACAGGCATTGCTAGTCATTAGGTTATATCGGTTCCCGCTAAAATAAGCTCTACTCCAGTGAGCAGACCCTATACTATCAAGGTACTTTGCGCACGCGGGGCTCTTGATACGGATAGTACTCATAACCTCCTTGAAAGCTCCAAGTTTATAACAAAATGCCGCTGAACCAACCATTTTAGCCAAACCTTTGCTCTTAAATCTAGAAACAACATTTCGCTCCAGATGAACAATGCAACACCCATGATGAGCCAATGGAAATACTTTCCTCTTTGCAACATAGATTGAAGGGCAACGATCAGATATAATACTTAGGCATTTGCTGTCCGCAATCAAACGAGCTACATTACCTAGGAACCATGTCCACGCAGCATCATTTTCACTATCAACAACAGCAAATGCTAATGGGAACACTTGGAAATTCGCATCTTGTCCACAACAAGTCATCAAAACGCCTTTGTACCTTCCTGTCAAATGAGTTCCATCCAATACGAGCACATGCCTCACTTTCCTGAATCCCTGTATCGACGCCCCAAATGCCAGAAAACAATACTTGAATCGGACAATACCATCATCGTTCTCTGTTTCCAATGCAGTTACAGTACCTGGGTTAGCTAGCTTAATCAGATATAAATACTGACTAAGCCGCATATATGAATCACTGTCTTCCCCTCTCGTTCCCAAAACCGCAAATTCCTTTGCTCGGTGGCATTTCATATATGACGCATTAACCCGCAGATCTTCCAATACCAGCTGCTGTAGCGACAATGCCTTCGGCCCATTTTCGGGATTCCCATATTTCGATTTGTATACGGCGGCTATAATTCTAGAAGTTGCCTTCTTCCGGAATTTGTTACGCATTTCAAACGCACAAATATGTTTTAAATTCATCTTCACGAGTTCATAGTATCCACAATCTTTAACTTCATGCGCGAGAATTCGCCAATCACATTTCCGATCCGTGCAGCTGACTACAAAATAATTCTTCTTCGTGGTCGACTGATAAAATGTGAAAATGTGCTTAATAGCATACAAAGCCAGGCCGATTCTACACTCCTCCTTGCTAGCGTAAATCTTCCCCACATACAGACGGTCGTCGTCCCCAGACAAGTCTAAGTCAGGCATGTCAACACTCTCATACTTAGTATCATCGAACAAAGGAGGAATGTCAAACTCTCCACGTCAATCTCAGTCATA